GATATTTTCAATCTTAATGGGTCTTCCTGGTTTAATAAAGGTTAAATAAATAAATAATCTGATCATGGAGAAATTTGGCTGTAAAATATAAAAACAGGACCCCATGCATAAATAAAGGAGACACTCATTTTTGGTTTACCCCCATCGACAAAGCTTTAATATGCCCCTGAACTTCTGCTGACTCACATCGTGTTGAAATTGCCACTGTGGTTTTAATATAAATGGAGGAACATGCTGCAGAAAATGAAGGTGATGCATAATTTAGTTGTGCATTCTTAAGAATATTTCAGGAACAAGAAGAGAAACTGAAAGTGATCCATTTCTTTTTCAAATTTAACCAACTTGTGGCGACAGAAATCATGTTTATGTTCATCAGCGTTATTTTTTCTGCTTCTCACTAACAACAACATCAGATTTTGTTGAGATATTGTTGTTGTCAGTGACCTGTTCAAGTGTTACCATGGCACTGTCGGGTCATCCTGCTTTTCCAAATCCCGTTTGGTTCCTACAGGTGACAGGAATCCCCTATTCATTGAAGTTTGTTTCGTTTTACACCAAGAGGATGACATTTCCCCAAAATCTTCTCTTCTGGTGAACCTTATCACAGCCTTTCTCCTCTGGAAATACGTCATAACATTTAGTTAATAATTGGCAGTAATCACATTGCTGTGGGAGTCTTTGGCTGTTATTCGTGTTGCTGTGGAGCCTGATCCAACACACAGATAGACAATGGTCTGCAGAGTGTTGTAAAGAGGAAGAGTACTCATACAACAATAAGTGAATCATAGGTGTAGATATAAAACAGTCTCTGTTTATCTTGGTTTGTATCTGTGGGCTTTGAAACTATGTGAAAGTTCCCTTTATCTGATTATCCCTGCTATATGTGTGTCATGTCCTCCTGGATGATTTATTCCAGGAGAGGTTTCAGTGCATGCTCCAATACCTTCAGTGTGTGACGTCATCCCTTTCAGTAAACAGGCAGTGATAGCCAATGTGGACATTAAGCTGCTTCGTGCTGCCACCCAGTGGTCACATGTGACACCTTCAGGTCTGGGAAACAAAGACAAGCTGCCTGTGCACCAAACCAGCACTGGGGAGAGGGGGAAGAGAAATGTCATGCACAACATGATGAAAATAAATAGATAAATAAATAAATAAAGGCTATGAAACAGATTTTTAAAATAAAATTTCCATTCTGGGAAGTGGAATTTCAACATGAAGTCGTCTTACTACAGCCACAGGGTGGGACCATTCATCACCACAGTGTCTGGAAGTTCTCTTTCTGTATTCTTTCATCTGCCTGAAATTAAATTGTAAAGAGCAGAAAAAAAGACAAAAATACAATTCTGTAAACAACCCTGAAAGAAATAATGTTAATGTTAATCCTGTAGGTGCAGTGAATATGTCCAACTAAACAGGGAGCTCTTACTAAATGCTAAAAATGCATTTTTCTCTTTAAAGTGTCAAATCTATGGAAAAAATATTTTTTTAGCATGTTGGAAGTTTGGTTTTATTCACCAACTTGTAGAAAAGATTTCCACACTTACATCTATGCAGTGTTTTACTTTATTCTTGAGCAACCTGTGGATCTGGAGCCACATGTGTCCTCAACGGTTTGTCAATAAAAAGAAAATAAATGTTATTTTTTAACATCTTTATTTTTCATACATCATTGTTCGAGGACTGAAGTCATTTTACATTCTCCAACTGTAAAAGTATATATATTAATTAAAAAAACACATTAGCATTTCTTCAAATAAAATGTGCATCATATGTCTATGACCTGGTGCCTTTTCCTCTAAATTTTGCTGAACCCTACTGGCGATGGCTCGTCTTGAGTCTCCCTAGCAAGGCTAACTATGGATTACAGATCCATGAAAGGAAGACAGAGAATTTGTGTGCTTTTCCCGCCCAACACTGCAAAGTTAAAGTAGCAAATAATCATGAATAGCCCACTGCAGAGGAGCCATCTTGTGGTAAAAGATATTAGGGAATGCTCATTTGGAGCCATTGGTAATGTTGATACCTTCATTATAAGGCAAAATATGCTTTGCAGCTCGACACAGATATTTTTTTCCTTTTTTTGGCCAAAAATAGCTCTTTTAATTGTAAAGGTTGCCGACCCCTGTATTAGACCTTCATCAGGGCGTACCCAAGTACTAACATTTTGTGTTGCTCAAAGCATTGAAAATTACATTTAAAAGAAATTCAACAGCAGCATCTCTTTGTTTTTAATTCACACAGCACACTGTGAAAAGTTTTTATAGACTTTTTCTTTGGTAGAAATTAGTTTCAGTGTCTTCTGTCAGTTACTGAAGTGACCAAACACTAAAGCAGCAAGTTATGGGCGACTGTCTTCATGTCACTGGTGTGTACAGATCAGGGATCAGCAACTTTTATTATTAAAAGAGCCATTTTTGTCCAAAAAAAGCAAGACAACAGAACAACAACAACAAAAACTGTGTGGAGCTGCAGAGCTTATTTGAGCCTTCTAATGAAAGTATCTAAATGAGCCTATCAACACTACCAATGGCTCCACTGAGCATTCATTAATATCTTTTACCACAAGGTGGCTCCTCTGCAGTGGGCTACTCATGATAATTTGCTACTTTAACTTTGCAGTGTTGGGCGGGGAAAGCAAACAAATCTGTCAGCACACTATTTTTTTTTAATTTGGAATCGATAGTTAGCCTCGCTAGGGAGACTCCAGACGAGCAGCGGCCATTAAGGTTTGGCAAAATTTAGAGGAAAAGGCGTCAGGGTGTAGACGAATGACACATTTTAGTTTAAGAAATGTTAAAACATTTTTTCAGTTGAAAGCTTTTACAATTTATATATATATATATATATATATATATAAAGTACTGTTGAATACCTTCAGAATGTCTCACTCTCACTTTCTGTATTTTTAATAAGTGGATTTCTGGGTGTATGGCTCTTTAACCCTTTGAAACCTGGAGCAACATCACTTTTCTTGCGCTGCTTTCAGATGCCTTTCTCAAGTATTTAAACCTTTGAACCCTGAACACATAGGTGTGAATTCTTTCAAAAAATATGCGAAAAAAGGCAATGAGTAACTTGGTAGGAAATGTCCCACAAATTGCAAAAAAAATATATAATTTAATTTGAAAATTATTTTAAAAAATAGGGAAAAAAGGAAACAAAAGTCAGGGGAAAACTATATTTATAATTATTTTTATCACATTTTGAAATTATGTTAGAGCATTATTGTAATTTTTAAGCACCCTTTCCATGTCATTTTATTTTTTTAAAAAAAAAAGTTTTTTACTTCACTTAACTTTGCTTTTTTTGCTTTTTTTAAACTAATTTTCCTGTTTTAATTTATTCTTTCTTTGTTTGTTGCCTTCTTCCCATGTTTTTAAAAGAAATCAAGCTACTTTGCTAAGGTTTCAAAGGGTTAACCCTGTAAGGCCCACAGCTGCAAAATTATATACATTACTTTTTCTTAATTTTTTTATTATTATTATTTTACCACGTTGACACAGACAGTGGGTCCTATTGTTTATCCTTATGGCGCCAGTAAAGAGAGCTGTCTTTATTGGTCTGGCCCATTGGCCATGAACTCACACAACCTGCAAACTTTCCTTCATGTTCATTCCTCTGTTTAACTGAACTGGATTTGTCGAGATTATTTATTTTATTTCATTTTTGTGTGTGATCATAACAATGCCTAAAACATGACAGAGTTTAGTTGTGGAACACATTTATCGAATTTGTCTGTTGTAATTCTGCATACCTGAGTCAGAGTCAAAACAGCATGTGCACCTCACACATTACACGGGGATATTGCACCTCTCACATGTTCACATATGGACAAATACAGTAATACAAATATCCTTCTGAGACCCTGTGTCCATATGAGCACATCACATTTTGGGTTTGCTGCACCCGATTCTCCATGCTGCTTAACTTAACACCTGTTGTCCTCGTTCATGGACACTTTCTTATGCCATCTAGTGGTTATGAGAACACAATACACTAATCCATGTAAAAAAAAAACTGCCAAGTCAGTCTGCAGCCGACCCCAACAAAAGTGGACAATGTCCAAAACCTGATCACATTTAATGGGTGAAACTTGTTTATTTATGATTATCAATGTCTGTAGATGTTGATATGGCAACAAATTTTAGCAACAGTAACAAGTTAAGACCTGTTAATTAGGAAGTACTTTACGGACAGTGGGACTTTATTGTCGTCACATTTGAGGATATTTCGTTTTTTTACTTATTGAGTCCTACTGATCCCAAATAGCTAAGAGAAATTAAAAATGTTTACCAAAAAGCAGCTCAGGTCTCAGGAAGATATACTTTCTTTGATGAAACACTATAACTAAGTTGTTTCTCTGTTAAAATTTTGAGTTTAGACCAGAATTGAATAATTAAATAAGTTATCTCTGGTTGCAGCATTTGAAACTATCTGTATTTTATTCATTAAACAAAATAAATGTGTGAAAGGCAGAAACAGGTTCTGGATGTTCTGGATTTTTTGGGGGATGCTTGTTGCATTGCTCAGGGACAGGTGCGAATGCTCCTGAACGTGGGGATGCTGTACTGGTTTAAATATCAGTATTTTTCAAGGTATTGTCTCGTATTTAGAAACTCCAGTATTACAATGAAACTAGTGAACACCTACACTTACAGTTTTTCATCCACTACTTTGAAGAGCAGAGGTGTCAATGAGCTACAGAGGTCACTGCTCCGGGTAGACTGATTGGTCCATGTCATCTTCTTCTTTCACAGAACTTAACAGTTATGGTTGTATCGCCGCCTGTTGGTTAAGCATGCTCTTGACAATACTTCAATTATGTTTTAATTTGAATTGAGATGTTTTTTATGGACAAGAACGAAGAAGGATAAAGTACCTGTATCTGTGCGGACTGTGATCCTCGTACTTTCAGCCTCCACTTCTACTGGCAAAGAAGAACAGTGATTAACTCACAAACCACACACAGAACACAGTTTTAATATAAATCTGTAAAAATGAGAAGTTTAATGGTAAACATGAAAATGACAGAGTGATTGTATCATTTATAAAAGCAACAACACAAAAATACATGTATCTGTTTATGAAAAAAAACTGTACCGTAGCTACCATGTACGTGAAACAGGTTTCCTCTGGATATCAAATTATTTGTCAGTGCACTCCAAATGTCTTGATCTGAAACTTCTTTTCCTGAAGACATTAGAAAAGGAGGTGATCGTAACCCTGCTTCTTTGAACACAAACAAAGACGACAACAACAACAAAAACAACCTGACAAATCATAATAATAACAACAATAATAATAATAATAATAATAATAATAATCACAGCCTTTAAGAAGAATGACATTTCAAACCACAATCTTGACATAAAATTGCACTTCAAAATACTGGTCGGGATGAATAAATATTTGTAGTACCTTTCTATATCCATTTTGGTAATACAGTACATTAACACAGCAATAGTATATTAGAGCTGTAGAAGGGTTAATAGGGAAACTGATTAAAACTTTGTCTATTTTCATTCCAGCTGCTTTTGCATATAGTACAGAATTTGCATAATAGCACATAAATAAATCAACACCGATGACATCAAACAAGAGGGTAAAAAAAGATTTACAAAACATACTGCATATCTAACATAGTGTCTATATATATATTGTTCATATAATTACATAATAGCGTCATTCAGAAGCGGTGCTCAAGTGCTCTTGCCTTTCGTACTCCATCTCCGAACCAGCGCTGTTTTAACAACACTCTGGTTTCAGTCTTTTGCACTGTCCCTTCAGGCTCTCCCTCCTATCAGAGTTGTGTCTGGGAGGAAGGAGCCTTTTTTTGGCCTTGGGTGGTCTCGGGGCAAACACCCCTCTCTGTAATATGTGCGTCTGTGTCGACCTCCGGATGCCTCATCTCTGTCCTGGGACTCGACTGGAAGCACCCTCGAGTGTTTCTGTGTGATAAAGCGTCCGATCGGCTGCTCCCGGACGCTCCCTCTGATGCCTCGGGCTCCTGTGGGCTGGCTCGACTGCCGGGCGACGTCTCTTTGAGAGTATCCTGGCGCTGCAGCAGAGGAAACCTCCCCTTTGGAGCGTCACTCAGTCTCCAGGATGTCCCTGCGGGGCTGGATGTGGCTGCGATGGGGCTGCTCACCAGGCTGTACATAGGGAGGGTGGACCTGGGCTGAATCATGTGAATCCCCCCGATGGGAATCAGGAGATTCGGGGCCCTGCCTGGCTGCTGGGAGTGCAGAGGGAGGTGACTTAGGAGGTTGTGGGCTCCCCGAGGGCGTGTGGGATGTGGGCTGATGTGGGTCAGACCAACCTCATCCACAGACTACAACAAAACAGATTAAATTAAAGTTGAATGGTTCTGCTGGAGAAATTAGGTCACTACAGCAGCAAAATGAATAGAATACAGTAAAGACAAGACAGAAGGTCAATGAGGCAGATTTAAAGTGCTGTAGCAAACAACGACCATAACTGTTGATGGTGTCGATCAATAGCAATGACTCAACGGTTACTTGGCCTTGGTGCTGAGAAAACAACTTTTAAAAGCAGAGTTCTGGCGAGATGCTGCGAGTTAGCGACCAGACATTTTGTCTCTGGAGGATTAAAGAGCCTTGTTCCTAAGCAATACATGCGCATCTCAAGAAGTTTAGCCAATATGTTAAATTGTGACTTGATATTTCTTTTGGGAGTAATTAGCGAAGAGCTAGCATCTTTATTATCTTTCAACCTGGACCCTATGCTCCCATGTGTTTTGAAACTGGTCCAACATTGAGACAGAAGGCCGCAGCTAGCAGGGACAAAACAGGCTGTAATGTCATCCCTGCACCGTCGATTTACGTCCATTAAAAGTGTTCGTTTTTGCCACTGACAGGCTCAGATTGTTGATAGAAGTGTCTTACAACATTACAGAAAGGACCCTACAGAGAAATTAAATGCATTTCTGTTCTTTTCACTTGTTCCGGTCTGTTTTGTATCTCAGTCTTGCTAACAAGATGTTCTGAAATCTCACGAGAGGTGACTTGCTGCAGGAAGACGACAGTGGAATCGTTAGTGAGAGTTGGAGAGAGAAGTGCTGGTAAAAGTCTGTTGTGTTGGAGCACAGATAACATATTTTACTCTTACCTAAAAGATTTTTAGTGTCATGGCAGAATATTTAGCTGATTTCAGCAAAGAGAAAAAGTCTGCAAGGTGTTTGAACGAGACTTCTCCTTTAACTTAATTTTGATTTAACACAGTAACAAACAGACCAGATTCTGACGGGTCTTAAAGGATGGAGCGGAGCAAAGTAAAAACAAACTATGATGTCAGGCAATATTGAGAGGATATGTCGATTTAAAACAGCCTCGATAGCAACTTTTTCTTACTCCTCACTGCTCAACTCAACAGTTTGAAAACAGCCTTAGTCCTGCCTGTGATGCTGATTGGCTACCTGAGTCCCACCACAGCTCTCATTGGTGTTTTTTAATTTCAACCAAGAAACTGTTTCATGTCACAATGTGTGATGAATCAGTCAACTTGAACTCAGTGGAGTGGGTGGATTCAAAGATCTGACTAGACTGTGGTCTATCAACTGAATTTAGACGCCCCGTGCCGCCATCTCCTGGAGCTCCCCCGCCTGTCTGTCAGCCAAAATCTGCAGTATCATCGATGATGCATGACACGTTCTGCGTCGATATTTAACTAGGTGTGTGTCACACTGTGGTGACACACACCTAGTTAAATAATGACAAAGTATCCCTTTCAGTACCTGGGATTTGTTGTTTTGTTTTGGTTCTTTATCGTGGTATTAAATTGGGTATCAAGAATTGTGGAATTTCACTGGTATTGGTATCGTATCGCGACATGCCTACGTTACAGTACTAAGCCCTGTTTCCACCAAACATTTTCAGTATGGTACCTTTGGATCCAACAGTAACCCTTCAGACATGGTACCTAGACCCTAGTGTTTCCACTGCAAACAGTCCTCTTAACTGTGGGCGGGGTTGTTGTCACTCACTGCTCCATCCAGCACTCGCTGTATTTCCTCATCAGCGGTGACACAGATGCAAGTCTGCACCTCGTTTATCGTCCACAGAACGAGGCTGCACGCCAACATAAAACAGGCTGCAGTGAGATGGGATATTTAAAAATAGCTGTTTTATGCATTTAGTCCTTCTCAGGCAAGATCAGGGGTTTAGTGTTGCTGTAGCCCACAAGAACAAAGGTCCATGACATTTTTTTTCCTCCACTCATTACTTAAAGTGTTTGTCATCCAAGCAAAACAATAAAAACTAAAGTAAATTATTTTTCTCAAACTACAGCTGCTGTGAGAGGCAGCAAAACATCATTTACTTTTAAAGTTATAGTTCATTCATATATGTTAAACTTGCCGTGGTGTGAACAGTTACATGAGCCTCAAAACCAGACACAACTCAGCCCTGAGCAGAGTGACCGTCCTCTACTGACCAATCAGACTGCAGTGTTCACAGCTCCACCTTTTAGTACCAAATCTGTGTGCTAGGTACCCCAACAGAGGGGGGACCAAACATGGGGACGGTTCTGTTGGTACCATCCACAACTTTTCACAATGGAAACAGAAAAAATGCACACTGGATCGAACTGGACTGAAACATAGTGCTTGGTGGAAACGGGGGTTTATAATGGTGCAAAATAATATTGAAGCAATCAAATTACTAAAAATACACATTCATATAGTATATGTACCAATCAAATATTTAGGTATATAAAAATGGCTCCCCTTACCAAATACAGCCAGTTTGCAGGTGTAGCTGACATGTAAACAAAAATGTCTATGTGTGCAGATGTGAAAAACAACCCTGTGGAGAATCTACTCCTATGAGCCCTATAAGTGTGAGGAGGAAGTGGTGAGGTTACACCATAACATAACCACAGGTTTGGAGTCGACATGTTTTTTTTATTTGATGAGGGTGAACTGAGATATTCACCCGAGGTGTTTTCGTCGTCGACATGTGGTTCCAATCTCTGGTATTTAATGATTGACCAGCTTCTCGTTTTATCAGCGGCTGCCCAGGGAAAACATGTTGTGTCTATTTGGGAGCTCTCCTGCATTATTTTAAGGTCCGGAGCTGCAGGCATCGGTTTGAGTGATATAAAACAAGAGAGATGCCTTTCCTTCCTTTTCCAATAAATGTGCGACTTTAAAATAACCTCATATGTACCAGCCTATCTATATTTGTTCTAGATGTTGACTTACTGGGATTTAACTGAGCCACACAAGATTAGCTTTGTGAGCCAAAAGCTGATTTATTTAAAACTGCCGGCTAAACTAACAGAGATGGATCAAGTCACAGGTGAGTGAAGACTGCGGTTTGAACAAAAGCCATGGTTTGACCAGCGATAATTATACACGCGACAAAAAGAGAGCATCATGACAGGTTCAGAATATGGAAAAACAACAATGGTTGGGTTACACTCTGTGTAGAAAACTAATGAAGATGTTATGTCACAATGTTTTTTTGAGAGAAAAGCTGAAGTGACTCACCCGTCTAGCAGCAGATGGTCGGTCTCTTGGGTGAAAACAGGCTTGACAATGAGCAGAGGTGTCTGCCAGGGATCCTGGAGGCCCAGAGGACTCTGATCCATGGGACTGGACTATTACAGGAGAAAGACCTCTAACAGGGGAGACTGGTCTCAGAGCAGAGGTGGAGACGTGACAACTAGATGGGGAGGGGGAGGACGGGGGAGCAGGGGACTGGCGAGGCCTGGGTGATGGGCTGTGAGCTGGGGACGGCTCCCTCTGTGAAATCAGGGGTTGAGTACTTGGAGAATGGCAGACTCGGGAGGATGCCGATGATGAAGCGTCAAAGCGTCTGCGGGCAAACAGAGCCCTCCTGACGCTGGCTGAGCTCCTCTGGGTAGAGTCCTTGGGGGGAAGCTGGACGGATCGGCTGGGTTCAGGTTCCATCGGCAGGCCTCCTGGACGAGGTTCCTCACTATCAGAAGTGGTAGTGTGAGAGCTTTTAGCCACCTCGGACCTGTTGTCGTCAACATGTTTGCCATCTTTGTCCCCTGCATTGTCATCTTTGTCTTGTCTGAGATCTGAGTACTGAAGATCTTTTTGTTTATCTGGGGGAACTGGACGTTCTTCACAGACTCCTAGGACAGAAAAAAATCTCCTTTCAACACATTTTCTAACCAACTCCATTCTTTAGTTAAAAAACGTCAATATCAAACCCCACATATTCTCAAGATCTATGAGTAAGACAGCAGTGGGAGACTGATTTAGACAGGATGATGAGTGGGATGAAGTTTTCGACAGAATCCACTCCTCCTCCATCTGCACCCGTAACAGACTTATTCAGCTAAGCCCATTCACTGAATACACTGGACCAAGGTTGGGCTGTCTGAAATCAAACCTCACGTCGGCCTCCTATGAGATAGATGCAAGCAGGATCCAGCTTCACTGAAACACGTTTTGGGTTTGTGCCACATTAATTACCTCCTTGAAGTCAGTTTTTTAACACTGCCCCCATCCCCACTCATTGCTCTCCTTGGCCTCTCACCCAAAAAGTATTCCACTCTCTAACTCCCACAAAGATGCCTTGGTCTTCTCCATCCTGATCGCCAAATAGATGATTCTCATAGGCTGGACGTCCACTTTACTGCCTTTCGTATAAACTGGATGAGGAATTTAATGAGTTGCTTGCATCTTGAAAAGATTAGGTATACACGACAAAACAAGGCAGAGAAATTTCAATTTATTCTGGACCCATTATCTCCATCTTCTTTTCCTACTCCTCTGCCTTTTGTTTTATTTTGTTTTGTCGTGTCAGTGGCGCCCCCAGAAATCTGAGGTGTCTTGAGGTGACAAACAAAAACCAAAAGCCATGGTTGGATTTCAGAAATTGTATTGTGCTCTTCAAGTATAAAGGCTAGTTGAAAACTATGTCAATATTTAGCATTAGGCGCACTGATAAATTTAAGTCTTGACTTTCCTCACTGCACCAATATGTAGACATGAAACTATATAGGTGTAAGTGTGCTGGGTTGTGTCCAGTTATTACCAGCCGAGTACATTTTTATTCTGGGTGTAACGTATAAGAGCCTCTCCCATGTTTCTCATGGCAACCCTTCTCCCACATATCTTCAATCTTGGACGCCTAAGATCTTGATATGCTGCTGACCAATATTTACATTTCTATTCAAACAAGTGTGAAATGTTTAAGCTCATTCAAAGTGGCAAAGTATGTAAGCCAACAGAATTACTGCACTGTTTGAGGCTATTAATCAACTCAAAGTCTGTGAGCAAGAAAATTCACGTGGCTCAAGTTACAGCAGTGAATATCACTGTGAGTGGGCACCAGTAAAAGGACTGCTTGTGATCTTGTAACCAATGAATAAGTAAATACAGTCCCAGCTCTAGAAAAAGGATAATTAAATGTTCTGTATGTGACATTCAGAGGTATAGGTATAGATACAGATAAAGATACAGTGCAGTAATGACGTCTTAAGCAGACTACGGTTCTCTAGTTTCTCGGCGCGGCGCAGGGTGGCGCAGGGTGGTGAACCCCGCGCAGAGCTAGTTTCGAGCAGCGCAACCCGAGGCGCGCTTAGTTTGGCAGTTTAGCAGACCGAGGTGCGCTGAGATGGGTGTAGCAGCGCAGCAGGGGGAGGTGTCGACAGATCCAGCTTGGCGCAGTGACAGTTTCATGCCAAAAGGCTTCGCCAAAGGTGCGCTAAAAGCTCGCCAGCTGAAACCAGGTCTACTGTCAGCACAGGCAGAGCACAGCCGGTGTAAGCCAAAGTTTGGCTGACTGGCGGACAGTGCGCACACGTCACCAAAACCTCACAGGCAGGTTTCCAGAATGTCAGGCACATTAACGATGCAATAAATACCCCAAAACCACTATTCAATGCAACTATCTGCAATCAGCACATAAATGTATCTCTATATCGACTGTCCCGTCACATCTGATGTCAGATCAAAGGGGATTGGCACCGTTTGGCACGTTTGACACGCGTAATGGAAACCCAACTTGATTTGATTAACACAGCTACAAACTAATGAGTTCACATCCCTCTCAGCCAACCACAAACAACCACAGCATCAGATAGGGAGTATATATACAGCATCTGTCATCTTAGAAAAGTCAAAAG